TACAAATTGTATCCCAAAACACTTTAAATATCTTAATCATGGGGAGCAGCAGCCAACATCCAGGAAAGTGGTAGAAAACGTAATATAAAATCAGAGTCTGAAACGGAAGTTACCTCAGTGACACTTTCTGGAGCGGGCTTTTAATTGGTTTCAATCATTATTGTCCACCAGCTTCAATGCAGTAATGCAGCAGTAAGAGTTTACTCTAAGACTATATCTGTACATTAGGTATGTCGTCGTGTAACATGGATCTGGAAGTGATCAAGAGAGTTGTGCGGTTCAGGGAATGATCCACACACACAACATCTCGGGTATACATGAATACCCCAGGCCCGTCCTCTAGATGTACACGTCCCTACATACAACTGTGTCACTACTTTGACAATGTATCTTGTTGAACACGTTAGATATAGCTGAATAATTCCTAAGGCAAAGAACAAAAGAAAGAAGGAACTAAAGGCTGTAGGAGAGACTTTCTAAGGCAGAAGGACCATGAAGGCTGTTCTAGATGTTGCAGTCTGTGGAAAAGAAAGCACCAGCAAGGCAAAACAGGGGAACGGCTTCAATATAAGCGGAGCAACACAGTTCCCATAAGCCGCTTCAGGGATGCTAGCCATAATGTTAGTAACACAAAGATGTGTGGTAATGCCATATTCTGGCTCTATTGAAATTCGTGCTTCTCAGGAAATCTACAGCTTGATCATCGTCTTACATATTAGAATTAAACATATAATAATGATTGTCTTTTTACTTCCTGCTGTCCCCCCATACCGTTGTTATTACAAAATGTTGTAAAGCGTTTAGTGGGTGCTCTGAAATCTTAGTGGGTTGGTAGTGGAACCATGAGCTGAGATCACATCAAAGCTTGAAGTAAAATAAACAATTAAAGCTATGTCATGTCTGTAAGAATAAATTGAGTGATTATTATTGTATTATGCTTCAGTAAATGAGATGTGTTTTTACTGTATGCTTGCTTACTCACTAGTTTTCAAAATACAGTAGTTAGCAGTGGCTGTCCAGTGTTTTACCCTGAGCTATCTGCTGCACAGAAGAATTAAGGAGAGTTTAAGCATGATTTTGATAAAACATTTTATCTTGGAAAATGCCCTTTAAATGATTTTTTTCTTCAGCATAAACTTTTCTTTTACCTTGTAGCCCTATAATGCTTTCTTAATTATTCTTTCTCTATTTCTGCAGTCTGACCTTCTTCTTTCACAGTTATTCTCAAAGCATATCCTGCTAGGGACATACACTGCAGACACCCTTGTCTGCTGTGGCAAGCTGATACCTGCTATCATTCTTGGGGTTCTTCTTTTTCTTGGAAGCTTCCTCTCTGTCTTTTAATATGGTCATTCATTTTCCACTCTCTTTTTTTTTCCTCTGGGGAAGCCTATAAAGATATAGTAAGAGAAATAGTTTATATTCCTTCTAGTAGATAATTTAAAATGAGTATCTGGCTTCGTTGTTAAGTGGAACAAAAGAAAAAAAAAAAGGGAAGAAAAAAGTATCGATACATCAGAATGCATCTGCTGAAGTCTTAATGCAATGAGAAAAAACTCCCATCTGTACTTCTGGGAGCAATGGTCAGTCCTCAGATCTCTCACCAATAAATCTGGCTTCAGCTAAATGAATTTCATGTTCCACCACTGTGCTTTATTGTTCCCTTAGGTTAACTAAAACCATTGTTTTTGCTGCTGCTTCAGTCAATGATGTTATAGAACTTTATACTTTAGCCTGAGTCAAAACATTGCAGTTAACTGTGATGATGATGAAGAAAAGTCAAACTCTTTTTTTCTGCATCATTTAGTCCCATCTTGAGTTATCTGTGTGCTACCAGAAACACATATCATATCTGTTGCCCTTCACTACTTGGCTGATTTATGTGATATCCAAATAGGCAACAATCTGAAGATTTCTTAACTATTTTTCTTTAAAATTTCTTAAAAACTACCATTTGTTTTTTGCAGCCCTATTACAGTATTTTTAGTGGAAGAAAAGGTGGAATTATTCAATCAGATATTATCAGCACCAATTTCATATATGCAACCTAACTAAAGGACTGACAGATAATTAGTCAAGCCATGGAATCCTCAAAATTCCTTCTCTTTGTTTGTCTAGAAGCTTGTTGTAATATTTTGGTTTATAATGCTGCCCCAAATCTTTCATGCTTTGGAAGAAATGTTTTATTTCTCTGGGCTTAATTTCAGTTGTTGCAGGTAAATTAGTAAGTAGATTCTCTGGCACAGCTTGAGGGAATTCTGTCAACTGCAAAGAAGCTCTACTACAAAAGAGGAAAGCAGGGCTCAGAGCTGCTGCTGACAGTTGTCACTGAGGCGGGAGGTATGGGTTATCCTTCCTCGCTGATTTGGAGGATATAATCAGGCAGACCATCAGTTGGCCTGCAGCCTCACAGTGACAAGGGATAATTGATAAGAAATAGAAAAGATCAGTTTTGGGGAGAAGGAGTCAAGAGTAAACAGTTTCTACCAGCACCTTCACTTCTCTTGGGAAGAAGAAAGGGATTTTCAGGGTGTCTCTCCCTCACAGGGACCAAGGAAAGCAGCTACTAGCTCTTCATGGCTGCAAAGCAGACAGGGTGCTAACAGATCAGCAGCTGATGTCTGCTTAGATACTACTTCCTAATAAGTTAAAAAGGTCAAGCTGTGCTCAATTTTGAACCCACCTGACCAATTGACTCCAATTGATAAGGAGATGAGACTCCATTGGTTTCTGAGAGCTGACAAACAGTTATGCTTGTGGTAAATTAGGCAAAAATAGGCAAAATGTATTCATCTGGGCTTGATCACAGAACCTTTGATTAAATTATGTTTCTCTCTTTTTTTCCTCATAAAGGGCTACATCTGGTCATGTAGAAATAGCTTGTAACAACACTGAATCATAAATTATTTGATGAACTACTTAGGACTATTCACTTAATGCATGATAATTCTACGAACATGTTAATGAGCAGCAATTCTCTGATGATTAAACTGCTTTAAAATGTCTTTGTACTCATATGTCATTAGAATGAACTTGGCACTTCTAAAACATCCATTATTCATCATGTTCCAGTGTCGCATCTGACTGTGTATCACTTTAATTTCACTCACTTAACAAAGCAATCTATTCATTACAATAGTTTGAAATGTGTTTAGTAAATCAGAAAAATCTTAGTTAAATATATAGTTTTCTATCTTTAAAAGTATAGTAAGTCAAAAAAGTTGTAATTGTATACTTAGTGTGTTTGATTATGGTAATTAAAATAAAATGGATTTTTAAGAAAAAAAAACTTTGTTTATATCAATGGTATTGCTAGCTGGGGAAGCAAATTAGGTAAAGCACCTTACTGAAAGCACAAGGCCAACCTTTCTTTCAGATATAGTTCAGCAAACCTTCTCTCAGTAATCCTTTTCCCCGTACATCTGCTGTCCTGGTCACTTAAGACATGGACAAGGGCAGAGTATTATTACTCCAAACATATATATTTGGTGTCTTCATGTGTTTGTATGAAGTATTATTTTTTTAGTATGGAGGTTTCCTACTTTTCCCATACTTGTTCATTCTGCAAGTACTGAGTCTTCCATACGTTTGAACTACATTAAATTCTACATTAATTTTGCTCCTGTTTGAATCTATGTGTGATGGCTGATCTGGAAGTGGTTCTTCACTTCCCAGCCAGCCCAAGAGACGTATTGCACAAAGTGTCAGACTGCTGAATGAGTCCATATTTGAGGATTTTTGACTCATGGGCTGCAGGAACTCCATCTCGTGTGAGTGAAAGATGGCTTTTGTCAGAGGACTCTGATAGAATATGGGCTGAATGGATCGCTTGCAGGTGTGTCAGAGGAAATACATTTTAGTGTTGCTAAATGAATTTCCAGTTGAACTAGTGAAGCTTTAGTCCCAGATTAATGAGACTTGCAAAACATGCAGAGGCGTGAGGTGACTAAACTTTTAATCTTGTAGAAACTATTTCAATCTTTAGTTTTCCTTTAAAAATACCTGCTGGGCTTGCTGGGAAAACAGTGAGTAGTGACCTGTGCTGAGTTTATTGCTCACATGCTGTGCTTATTTGTCAGTATTTTCAGATTGTTTGTCAAATGTGTTTTTAACACATTTTGATCCAGTCAAAACAGGGTGTTTGAACTGATACTGAAAGGCTGCTAATGCTTTTCTAGCAAGGAACAGAGGTAGGAAGTTCTTGGTGGTTGTATCAGCTCTTTCAGCAGCTATTGGTGCAAACAAAGACAATATATTAATGATTAGCTGATAGGATCTTCAGAATTGTTAAAATAATATGACTAAAATATGTGAGGGAGAAATAGAAGAGATATGTGGCAAGAGGAAGATGCTGAAAGAGATGGGCTTTGAAAAATTTTAGTAACTGTTAACCTCTATTTTTAGCTAAGAATGTTGGCAAAATCAGAATATACTAAGAAACCCAACTCTGGACACGCTTCTTTACGTTCATGTCTATTCCTGTGAAGCAATTTTTTTTTTTGTTCATGGCCTATAAGAAAGAGTTAGTTGGCAATTAGGAATTAATTGCTTGGGAATTCTACTAAAACATTTCAAAACTTTGTTGTTATATACTTTTCTTTCGATCAATCTTTACTTAAAAAATGGCATTTTGTGGCATGTGATAGCATTCATATTTAGTACACCATCTATGGCAGTATCAAAACTGAGTTAGTGGTGTGTCCGGTTTTAGTATGTCTTTTTATGATCAGATTCCTTAAGGTATGTTAAGCTTTTCCTTCCAACTAACCTTGTTACTGTCTGTGGGTCTGTTGCTATAACTTTGGCTACATTTATATATAATTCAGTCTATGGAAAGCCGTATGTTGTATACAGAAATCATTCTGAATGGTTTCATACTGAGGAGTTGTTACGTACAATGTAAATCTTTAATCAGAAAACAATCTACAACTTGTGCGAATTGCTGGATAAGGACATTCTTCTGACTTACAGTAATGTGTTTGTATTTCCCTAATGCACAGCCCCTGTTCTCCCTGGGGCATATCAGCAAAGCCAGTCCCAAGGGTATGGATACATGCACCAGACCAGTATGTCGTCCATGAGGTCAATGCATTCACAGCCTCATTCAGCAGGTCTGGTGAGTACTAAATTTAAAGAATTCCTTTTGTTAAGCAACATCTTCAGCCACTGTGAAATCATTTAAATGCAAGTGGATTGGTCCCCTTGAGTTCTATAGTTTGAGAATTTTTGAAATTAGTATTTTTCTGGCATCTGTCATTCTCTTTATTTTTGATTCTATGACTGACCTTTTCTGTGTATTTGACAGTCCTAGTTCTAAATGTGAGGGAGAATTTTAATGTATAAAAAAAAAAAGTGATTGAGGGCAGTGGCAGGAGCTTTTATGTCAGAATGTGTTAAAAACACTTATTTATGATCTCCAGAAGTCAGAGAAGTCAACTGCATCTTCCACCTGCTAAAACAAGTAGTAAACACTGAGATAGCTAACATCAAAGCTCAGCCTATCTGATGAATTCAGTCTTCTAGTGCCAGATGAGAAACACCAATCTCTTTTACGATCACATTGTTGGTTTAAATTTTTTAAAAAAATATTGACTTGATGATTTTGTCCTAGCAGGATTTATGCCTATCCATATTACTCAGCTTTGTTTGTATCAAGCTAGCATATATTCTATATTGATGTGCCCTTTCTAATTCAACAGAACGGTCATGCACACACTCAAACCTGATGCAAATCAAGTTACCCTATTGGGCAACTGAGAAGAAGCATTATCATGAAACCATGGCCACAGTCATAGGAAGTTCTTATTTGTGATGGATGGAAATGTAAAGCTGGAGTGAATTTGTAGTTCCAGAAGTAACTGACCATGGAGGGAGATCTGAATCTTTTTTCAGGACACCAGTTTTTGAAAATTGAGCTTCTTTTTGAACTCTTTAGATGTAAAGTTGTGTTTTTAATGGTTCTCATGTAATTTTTTTTTTTATCATAGCAATGCTTAGATATTTCACAGCTCAGATTCCTTCACCTTTCACTTTAGGAATATCAACTTTTTTGTACTTTGCAGGAAAATTTAAGATTGTTTTGAATGGATGTATATTCACAGCCTCTGCCACCTTATTTAGAAATTAAGAAGCATTTAGTTATGAATCAAACTTACAGCAAGCTAGAAAAAGGGAATTTGTTGAGCTGAAAAAAAATTAGTTGGCTTGATCTTGCATTTTTTTTCAAGACTGAAGCTCCACAGTATTTCATACCGCAAAGATCACGGCATTCTGGGAGATATCAGTGCTTTCAGGCTTATCAGCTGCTCAGCTTGCTGGGAAGTCCTGGATCCAGATATCTTCATCTTTGGGGGAGCCAAAACCTGGGAAACTCTTTAGATACCTGCATAAGAGCTATGAGGCAGCTGAAACTAGAGTCAGCCATTCAGTTTCAAGGATATCTCAAGACACTGGGGAGTCAGCTGCTTTCCAAAAGGGATGGAGCCAGAAAAGTAGGGGATATAGAAGCCTGGGCTTTGCTAGAGTGAAGGAGCCTTCAACTCTAGCATCTAGAGAATGGACATGCCCAAAAAATCTAAAGTCCATTTGGTAGCTTCCATGGCTACCTGGGCAGGCCTACTGTTTCCCTAATATCTCCATCTCCCAGTGATTTGCCTAGGAGCTGCCTGTTGGAACAGTATCATTTCACTTCTCTTGAGAATCATCATTTTCCTCTTCTTTCCAGAGCTGGAAATACAAAGGTGTAATAGGAAGAGGAAGGGAGAGAAGTTAAAGTATTTGAAATAATAAGGATTGAATGAGTCTCTCATTTCAACAGAATTTTTTACATTTGTAATGAAGGAGTGTTGCCATTCTTTTACGTGATAGTAGCTGTCCTTTGTGGGGAAAAGGAGAAATGCCAAATATCATGGTTTGAACTGATCTTGTTGCTGTTAAAATCTGAGCTAGTTTCCTTGAAGACAATACAAAACAAACATTTCCAGAGGGAGTTAAAAAAGGACAACACAGACAACTGCGCCTGATGCTGACTGTTAATTTGCCAGTCTAGTGATGAGCACAGAGGGTGCTCTTACCACCCCTTGAGGGGATGATTCTCCTCCCACGGAGGGAGGGCTTATAGCTCGGGCACAGCTATAAGCCTGACGTGCTCCATCCTCTTTCCACCTCCCTTTCAATCATCTCTTTAGCCTGTGCAGCTTGTCCAGGTGTGCTGGGCACACTATACTTGGCTATAGGGATGGTACATGGGAATCTCAGTGTGTGCTAGGGGGGAGACCCTGGTTGAATCTGGGAATATGTTTGAGTGTAACTGTCTGCACAGACAGGAGATGAAGGCAATCTTGGAGAGCTTTTCAAAATGCAGGGTAGACATGCCCTAGGAGATCTGACAAACTTCTCTACAGTGTTAGCTTTGCTGCTTTAAGCTGCCTGTTTGGTCCTGGGCTTGTAGCAGTACTGCCAGAAGTGTAATATGGTCTAGCTAAGCCACAAGGAAGCTGAGGAAGAAAGGAAAGAAAAAAAACTAAGAGGAAGAGACTACCAGAAAGAATTCCTAGTCTGAATATTGGACTCAAAGTGCAAAAGGTTTTTGATACTTAACTGAAAGTAATGAAGATGAAGTCACCTATCCTTGGTTCAGTTTGCCTAGGACTTCTTTAGGAAGAGAGGGATTAAGATCCCTTGGGTAATCTTAGAGTGAGAATGATCAGAGAGGTAGCTGCTGTAGTGAAAGCCACTCCTTTCAGCCCCTTCATTCTTCTGTGGCATTGCTATGAAATCAGGGTCCCCAAAAGACATAAATTCATCTTATGTCCACTAATATGGGAAAATTTCTAATGGCCATTTTCTGGTTATTTAATTTTGAACCTTGTTTTGTATCAGGCATGATCCTAGCACATTCTTGGCTAGATTTTTTTCTTTAGATGAGTTGTATTTTTTTTGACTCTTAATTTTTGTTGACTTCCTATGAGCAATTTTACATAATAGACTGAATGAAATTGTTGCTCAGAGTACAATATGTTTTGTAACAACTCCCTTAAGGCTTCTGCCAGACTATTTTTGCCTCTTGGCAAAAGAAGAGAGGTCATTCTGAAGTCTTTAGGTAAGGAAAGATTGTAGGAAAATAAAACCCAGGTTGCTAGTTGGCTTCCCTTGACAGCTGTTATATGTAAGGACATTGCAACAGGTAACTGTTGCTTGCAAGGACCAATTCAGAAATTGAGTTTAAACTGGTGGTTGATCCAGAAGTATGCATCTCTTAACTCACATCTGGCTGGGGAGCTGGAGAGTTGTGCTTCAGTACTTCATAAGCACTGATTTCTTACTGTTTTGTCTAAGCAAAAGCTGCAAGTTAGACCTTTGAGGAGGCAGGAGATAAGTGAGTATTTGACTGTTTTACAAAACCTCAACCTTTTCTTAAACCCCTGTTGTGCTCTCAGTACTTGCTAAACTCACTACTGACAAAGGAATAATTCGCTTAAATGCATTTTAAAAACCCTCCCCTTCAAGTCCTTTAAGCATTATAATTCTCAATTATATAGCCCAGACTACACTCTAAAGTGATAATTAGGCATTAAATGCTAACCGGATTATTATGGAGATTTCTCCTGACAGCCATTTAGCACCTAATTAGGTGTTAAGGCCATAAATTTAGGTTTCCCAGCAGCATTTAGGGCCCTGTAAATTTTTTTAAAGTTTGAAATTACCAGCTTGTCTTAACAAGTTTGCACCACCATGATGTAGTCAAGCTGCCTTAAAGGAAATGGCAGTAGTTGCGTCCCATACCATGATGGTTTAAGGATGGATGAGCATCCTTCTGGGTGAGCAAAAACGTACCTATTTATTTCCAATTATGTATTAGTCTAATAAAACATCTTACCTCTTTCCCCAATCTTTGCCCATTTAAGGAGGACATAAAAACATGGCTGAGGAAAAAAATCCATTCTCTCCTTCATGCCAGATGTGGGCATCTTTTCTGAAAATAGAATTTCATTAAAAAACAAAACAGAACAAGTGCATGAAGGGGAACTGAAAGTGATTTGGAGTTGTTTTCCTGAGCTGGGAAGCAGATAGAAGGTTTCTGTCTCTTCAAAGGTTAAGACAACCATACTGGGTGTTAACAGTTTTTACCTTTGTTCTCTTCAAATCATTTTACCAGAAAAATTCAGCTAGATATGGTAACATACAAAAAAAGAGCTGGCAAGACAGTAAAATATTATCAGCGATGCCTGAGCTGCTCTTGACTTCTGTTGAGAGACAGGGAAAGGGGAAAAAAAGTACTCCTGGGAATTTTAAATTGAGCTAGTTTTGTTCTGCCATTAAGATACAACAGGAGATTCTGCTCCCTGTGAGTTGGAAACTGTACTTTGAATTCCAATAAATGATAGCATATTATTGATTATAAATTGAAATAAATATATGAAAAGGAAAGTGAAATCTTTGCTTACAGCTGACAGGGTGCACCGGTGTATATTTGACTTAGCTAATGACAGGACTTTGTGTTCTGTTTAGATCAATCTTCTATTTGTACTTGAATAATTGAATATTCATAAAAACTATTTCTGCAGACTTTTTGAAATCCTGTTGTACCTTAATAATGTATTTGTAACTCTTAGTTTTGGGTACAATCCTAATGAAAATGAAAGACATTTAATGAGATGGCAGTTTATGACCTGCATGAAGATGTTTCTCTTCTGAAGTGAAGACACAGCACAGGCTGTTTAGGAATCAGGCAAATAGGGAGCAGAAGCAAAGTAAGAGGCAGTGTACACAGCCAGCTATGGCTGGACATACTGAACTGTTACTAGTGAGTATATGAAACAACAGCTGGAAGGAATATTTCAGGAGTGAGTGTGTAGTCTGAAATCTGCTCTTATGAGCACTTGGAACAATGCAGATTCGCCAAAATTGCTATTTTGGTAGGCAGAAAAGGGAGCAAAATTCATTGAATATTTGACAAGGAAGGATGTGTTGTTTCTTTTCAACAGGTAATTCATGTGATTTCTCTCCCTTGCTCCTTCCCTTCTTTCTCCTGCTTGTTTCTCTTCTTTTTCACTGTGAAAGAAGACAAAGACGCTTCTGCTTAGGCTTGAGACTTTACAGCCTTGTTTTCTTTTCTTCAACAGAGAACATACAGAGCTATGTATGACTACAGTGCTCAAGACGAAGATGAAGTTTCCTTCAGGGATGGTGATTATATCATCAATGTGCAACCAATTGATGATGGCTGGATGTATGGTACTGTTCAGAGAACTGGGAAAACAGGAATGCTTCCAGCAAATTATATTGAGTTTGTTAACTAATTTTTGTCCCTAGTCCTTTGAGCTTTATTCTGATTAACTCAAAGTCTAACCTTTTAGAAAAAATCAAAAGAATCTTTTAAGACTACATGTACATTACTTTTTCACTGCTATAACAGTCTGCATTCTCATTCAAAACCCAATTTAGAGTCCTTTAAAGTACAGATAAACAACAAGAAGCTCAGAGCTTTGAAAACAGCCTTGCTTACAATAGTGCTCCCTAAAAATAAAAGTTATATGTGGAAGCCTGGTGCTGCTAACCCTGTGAAGATTTCAGTCACTTAGCTGTAAAGGGGAAGTACCTTTCCCCTACTTCTCAAAGAGGTGATTTCTCTTTGGAACAGAACTACAAAAATGATTCACTCCTTATGGCACTCTGAAGTCACAAGAGGTTAACACACTACGTTTGAGTACATCTTCAAATTATTGGAGGAATGTTTGACTTTTGAGCAGTTAGCATCCTAAAAAAAGTGCTAAGTAGAGAATTCAACCTTTTGAAACAATGACAAGTAATATGTTAGTAAAAAACAAACAAAACCCCTGTTGCCCAGCAGCCTTACAAGGAACAAGTCTTTTGAGAGCAAAAATTTCCTGACTGTCACTTACCCACATTTACTCTTGGATTACCCATTTTCTCCTATTTGCAAGTGACATCTTCTATCAGCTTTGCTTGTATCCCAGTCCATCAGGTAAAATCATGCCTTGATTCATGGCTCTTCAGTATCTTTTCCACACAAAACTCCTCACAGAGACCATCTAGAGTATAAAACCTATCAGCTCTTCTGTTTCCTTTTAATAATACTTAGCATTTAAATAGAAACTTCCAGTAGGGCAACGTACAACCAATATTTCATGTTACTTCCTTTATCTCCACCTGTAGTGCTGTAAATAGCCTGTGTGAGGCCCCAGTGCTGTGTGGTCGCACGAAGCGTGCAGTCACATCCCTCATCCCTACCACAAGTAACGCGCTTAATGGCTGCCATGCTGACGAGCTGATGTACCTACCCTGCTGCAGAAATACTTTCCCTCCATTGCAGAGTGGTGAAGAGCTCTGGTTACTGCAGTGCGTTTCAGTGCAATGGCCTATCACTCAGTTTCCTCCAGATAACCTGGTGATCCAACAGTGGGTTGTGCGCTTACGAAATGATTAGTGAAGGATCAATATTACGTTTTTTTTTAAACTGATTTATTTTTTCTTATAACTGACACTAAAGTGAGAATTAACCAAACAGAAGTCAAACATACTCTATTCCATCATGCTTCAGTTTAGCCACCCACAGAAAAGAGTAGGATACCGGAGCGATTGTAAGTCCTCTGCTGACAAACCTTCAGATATTCTCGTTGTGGGCCATTAGCTTAAGCTCCGGACTGAGGGATCCAGGTCTCAGGCTGTGAGGCTGAGCAGAAGATCAAATAACTGGTGATATAATGAATCTGTAAGAGGGACTATGTCAACAGATTTGGGCCACAGGGAAGGTCCTTTGCTTTACCTGGACTCTGGGAGGGTGCTGTATTCCCTTCCAGAGAGGAACTCTGGGAGGAAGTACAAAAGAGTTGAAGATTCATGTAGGAACTTGCTCATGTGGATGCACACATGTGTAAGGAAGAAAACATTTTTCCTGCTGGTATCATGTATGGTATTCAGCCACACGTAAGAGAAGTTAACTTTAAGGTAGTTATCAGAATGTTGAACCTGCACTGGTGTTCTTGTATTTTTGGAATTTTAAAAGTAGAACTAAATGTAGAGTTTATAGATAATTTTATATTTCCTTTTTCAGAAAATTAAGTGAGCCTGCAAACAATAAAGAAGGAAGGCAGTAGAGATTTGTTTCATCAAATGAAACCTATCAGTGCAAATACCTGCTAGTTCTGCTTTTGCCTACTGTTAAGAAGTGGAAAGTGGATGCATTTTTTTTTTGTGTATTAATAAGGGCCAGGTCTGAGGCTGCCAAACGGAAAGTGGAGTGACTGCATTAAAAAAGAAGTCCACAGTTGTGGATATGCTTGTGCTTTCTTGTCAGCTGCCTAATATCAAAGAAAAAGCTGCCCAGGAGCATCTAACTTCAGCAAATGTAGTTTAAAGCAAGGGATGTGATACTGTAAATGTGAATTCAGTACACATTCAGTACACAGTGTGAATTCACACAGCTGTCGCTAAAATTCTTGGAAGACATAAGAGTTTTGCATATAGAGCTACTGCTACAAGAGACCTTTATACATTACTGGTGACTTCTGTATTAAACTTGCTAGCTTTGCAAGTGAAATGGCTTTTTTGAAAGGCTGATATGGTAAGCTCAGCCTAGGATCTCTGAAAAAAGCAGTCTACTTCTGCATTGGTTATTATCACCAGCCGTCAACGACAAATAGAGGAATCCCATTTTGTGATGGCTGGCAAATTTTGCTAAGGATGCGTGAGGCAAAATTGGTATTACTTGTGCTGCTCTATTAGCTGTGTAATGCTGACAACAATAAAAATAAGTTGTCAGTCTGTTAAGCAGATATGAATAAAAAGAAATATAGGGAGCAGATATATTGCCTCAAGTCACAATTTTTAGTGACTTATAAAGAAGAAAGACCCAACCTATAAATACACTAGTGTTCTTCCTAACTTGGCAGATGGCTTGCTATGTTGAACACTGTATGTGTAGTGTAAAGTAAAGTAAATCAGGGAATGAACATTTGATGACATAAGAGGACTATGTTATATGCTAAACCATGAAAATAAAATTTCCTTTATGAATTTTGAATATTCTATAGCTTAGCAAAGCACCTAAAGCAATTTGCAAAATAAAAAAGGTCACGAAAGCAAATCAGTATGTCAATGATGTTTCTCTTGAGAATGGTATGTCAGCAGAATGATAAGGTGTGCTTTAAGTTACTCATATGTGGTCATTTTTTTATATTGCATATGCTTAGTAGTTCTTGTTCATTTGGAATGGTTCCTGTTTTTCTAATACAAGACAAAATTTATTCTCATTACGCAGCTTTGTTCTCAGTAATGCCTGAAATTATCAGAGTGCAATTATCAAAATGTTTTATAAGATCTAAAATTTATAAGGTATGGAAAGTAAGTCAGAACCAAATTGTGCCAACACAGGTTTTACAAGGCATATATTGGAGCCTGTTACATGCAGTGGGATATAGGGGTGAACAGATGTTATATGCTGTCTTATCACCTTTAAATCACCTATTTCTTTTTAACATAGCATGTTCCTCTCACTGTACTTTCTTCCTGTAGACAACATTTTTCTGGGGGAAGGAAAAAACTTTTCTAAGAAGCCAAATTTCCCAAGAAGTTCCAAAGTTCGTGTTAGAAGTCCACACATTCCCATTTGAAGCATTTTAGAAAATTTAGGTTTTATAATGGGCTATAATTCTTACTAACACAAATACAAATATAGAAAACTACATACAGCATATTCATACACACGTATGTATGCGAACAAATGGGTGCCTTGCTTTTCATTACTCTTTCTTGCCTGGCTAGTCTTCATTTTCTAAACAAAGCTACTTACAGATACTGCAGTTGTAATTTTTCATTATGGAACATTAGCATTTAATCTTGATGAAACAAGATTTTCTTGATTACATTTGACATACCATAAACCACTTCAACGGATTGGGATTTGACAGTGAATCACCTCCCATGGATTATATTCATGACAAATGTGTCCCTTCCAAGTGTTCCTCAGGGATATGGAAGGTCTCCAATACTTGGGAAAGGTAATAATTCTAGTTTTGATTGTACAACAACTGCATGTTATTATGTACAATGAAAAAGAACTGGCAAATAGAGAAGTCTTTGGCAGGAAGTGGTATAGGGTATAAAATATTAGATTTTAATTATGTTGATTAATACTCCATATGAAATACAGAATAAGCTTTAGTTAGTAAATGTTTAAATAATATACTGAAACAGGCAAAAGATGCTGTTGAAAAAAGATCTCCAAACTGATGTGCTGGCAAATGCAAAGTACTGGTGAGCTATAGAAGAACAAACCATTTTGCAATGCTTTAGTGATTTTCTCCAGCTTTATGCCGTAGGAATTCCATCTCCCCCTTTGAAGGAGACCCAGAAAGCTATATTCTTTCCTAAACTGCCTGCACTACAACAGTATATTCAAAGGAATTTCATATGCTTCTTGTGTCTGATAAGTAGAATTTGCATATTGTACTTAAGTTGTAATCCAGTTGCTGTTGACATTTGTTTAATTATTATTATTTTAGGGGGAAAAATAAGCTATACTGTAGCATTTCAATCATGTGTATTTAATATTACTATTAGAAATTGCTAGACCATTGGAAGGCAGCAATGACTGTATTAACATTGATTAGCATGATGTGGAAACTCTCTCAGCTGTTGGTTTTTGCAATGTAACATAAAAAGCAAAAATGAACCGCTGTGCAGTTTGGCTTATGTTTGCTTTAAAGTGTGTAAAGTTTTAGTTATTTTGCAAAACTGTACTGTATTTGGGAGTATACGGTTATGAAGGTAACACTTGTTTTTTAAAGGACAGATATACTTACTCTTGGATCATATGATGTATCATCTTAATTTGGCTTTTGTTATGCAGAAAGTTAACACCAGCTATTAAAATATATTTTAGTAGAAATGCTTTAATTCCTGTTTCTTCCTCTACACTGTGAATCTTTAAGCCTTGGTGGACTAGAGCAACATCATGCTGCCCAAAGTACTAACCTATGCAAACTAGTTCACATTTTAGTTGATGTCACAGTGGATGTAACAAAAACAATTTATTTTGCATAACATTAAACGTCATTCAAATAAAATATTAAACCCAGCACTATGTATGTATTATATTCATGAACAATACACTGCAAAGCTATCATACCCATTAATATAAGCTATAAAAGATATGTATTGTTTTAACTTAGGATGTTTGGGGTTTTTAAACTTAAGTGGAATATATATCCCTCTTATTCTCCAAGCTTGGTCTCGAAAAGTGGTTTCCTAAAACAGCATTTAATTTCAGAAATGCACTCTCTTCAGAGAGTTAATTTGCTTTTTCAGTCTGTATTTGTAACCCTTCAGCAGAACACTAACTTCATATTCCGTGTCCCTTGGTTTGTTTAAATAAACAAAGGTAAAAAGTTAATGAGATCGGCTGATTTGACTGATCCTGGTTTGCTGATCTTTAATGGACATTTAATCAGGCACGCTCTCAGTGCAACACTAATGAAAGCAAATTGGAACACTGGCTTCTTTGAGGCAATTTCATATAGAAACGTGGGTCTTGGATCATCTTTATTCACTTACATGAGTAAATTATTTTTTCAGAATTGTAAGAAAGTGTAAGTTAAAATAAAATCCAGAAGTATTTTGAAACTGCTTAGCCAATAGGTAGATTATTTTGCTTTATAGAATGTTTTATTTTTCTCAGTATTATGTGCATGGTCCAGTGTACCGCATCAGAATCTTTAAATTTTTATCAAGTATTAGTTTGAGGAAGGCTCTCAACAAGGAACAAGGACAAATGACAGCCAGAAATGGAACTGGGTAGTTCGTACTAGGTAAGTGACACAGTTCCGAGTTCCTATCACACTTAAGTTTCTCTTTAAGAAATGCACATTAACATTTACTGTGAAGTTTAATTAGATATAGAGCTTTGATTCCATATTCTGTAATGCTTTCATATATTGAAATGCCTCTGGTATAGCAAAATGCATCCTTTATAGTGTAGCAAGCATCACTTTTCAATAAGAAAAGACTTACGAGCTTCCAAATGAACCTCAAACACTGAGAATGCATTTTATGTCTAAATCCCTCTATAATCTGTTAGAGCAACTTGAATACTAGATTTCTGTCTCTGTCCTAAATATATCTTTCAGGTAAAGGTTCTCCTCCTGAGAGCCACTGATGTGAAGTCCGTAGGAGGCATGTGTTCCGCGTCCAAAAGGATTATGTCCTTATTCAACAGCAGTGTCAAATCTAACAAATGACTGGCATCAAGAAGGTTTTTTCTGTGTTTACTGACCTCATAGCATACCATTATCAATGGGATCTGTGCCACCTTGGATGATTTTTGAGTAAAAGCTGGCACTTGAAAGTCCTGTGGAGACCCTCTGCACTGGATATTGGACAGGCTCAGAGTTTCTTGCTATCACTGCTTTTAATGTGTCCTAATTTTTGCTCTCTCACAGAACTTGGCTTTTGATTTTCTCTGTTGTATTAATTAGCAAGAATAAAGTTGCTTTTAGCTAGCGTTTTTAGCGATGAGGGAATGGTTGCCTGATGCATTGGCTCTGACAAGTCATGTCCCCTTTCCTCTCTCCATTCAAACCACATTTCCAGTCCTGTTCCACAGCCTGCCCCTGCCCCCATATCCATACAGCCACTTCTGAGACATACTGGAATGATAACACTGAAATGATCCAGATTGACTATAATCTCTTTTCTTTTTCTGAATGATTGTTTTTATCATCATCCTTTCAGTCATCTGGTTTATTGCACAACCTCAAAACATAGTATCACCATAAGGAAGGCGGTAACACCAGACGGGTGGGAAGGAATGTCTAAGGTGAAAAACCACAGATTTCTTGCTCTGGGTTTGCTGCAGAGGCTAAAGCAATTCAACCATATTCAACTTCAGAGGGAACATATTGTCAGTCTATGTAAACCCCGTGTTCTGGTGAGCTGCTGGAAGTAAATCCCCTTTGTACGATCAGAGTCCCATTGCACTGCAGCAGGTTCCTAAGACTGAACTGTTGAAGTACCGGCATGAGAGGACGTGCCACAGAACTCACTTGCTCCACAAATTAGTGGGCGCTTGTTTAGCAATGATGGCAGAAACCAGAGATTCGTATTTATGCACTACACCCTAAATGCCATCTAAGCAGTCCTTGACTGTTGTTATAAATTTTAGCTTTGATTTCTTTCTCACCTGCCCACTGCAGATAAAATCTACATTTTATGGAGAGGCCTGCGCTCATGCCAAAGACTACTGGCTTGTGGCTTTGGCCACTTGTGTCTAGAAAAAGAAACGCATGCAATTCTCTCCGGGCATTAACAGTTAACCTTTAAAATTCTACCTGACATCTAAGTGTCCATTTTCAGTGCTTCCACAGGGAGCAGGCAGCTTTTGTGATTGTTCTTTGACTCAGGCCATAATTTTTCTGTATTTTTTCCTGCTTAACCATCTTTCTTGTCTGACATGCTTACAGCCTCCAGGAGTCTGTTGCTTTGGACAGCAGCTTTGCCAGGGCCCAAGGGAGATATTTTTAAGAGGCTTTTCAAAGCACTGAGAATTTAAATTGCTTGAAAAATGCGAGCGTTCATCAGCAGTTGTATCTGAGCCCACTGATGTGTCAGCTCAACACAGCAGCATTTGGTGCTCATCTCCCCCTGCCCCTGTACTTTGGCTTTACTGCGCATCCCCTGCCCCTGTACATTAGCTTCACTGTGCATCCTGGCCTTTTGCCTACTCTTCTTTCAGCCAGGCTTTGACATCTCTGTCAGTGAACCCTGCTGGGCTCAGTGCCTCTCCAGTCAGGCCTTCAGATCACTCAGCCTCTCTTGTTACTATATGCAGGATAGAAACTTCAGTGTGGCTCAGCGACCTGTACTCCTGGCAAGACCTCTGAGCAGAACTCAAAGAGGACTGATGCATGCTCCTACCCTAAAGGCTGTTACATTTCTTTTGACTCAACTAGGAACAGTTCTCTGTGAATGGTTCTCTTAACTGTCCTTTCATTGTCCTCCTTGCTTTTGGGTGGATTCTGGCTGCTTGTTTGCTCAGCTGCTGCTTTTGAAAAAGAAGGTGGTCATTTTTTTCACTGTTTCGCTAATATCCAAATCAGTTCTTGCGCATTCCATTCTTTAGAGGATTAGCATCTTTATTATGTTTTCACTATCATTGTTAGAAAAATCCCTGATTCCCTCCGAAGGTCAGATTCTGGACTGAACACTTGGTTCAGGAGAATTTCTCTTTTCATCAAAGATGGTCTTTAGATCTTCTTCAGAAGACAGTGTCAAATCCAAGCTCTCATTCCACATACGTATACTGTGTTGTTCACTTTGGAAGTGGTGTTGCTAGGCACTGTTGTACTTATTGCAGCCTTTCAGTTCCTAATGCTACTCGTTCTGAATTTTTCAGATAGTTTGTCTGTTAGATGAGATTGTCTGTACCAGAATCTAGTCTTACTGTAGATTAATATGCCATTATAAGAAAACACACTTCTTCCTCGTTAGTATTTCCTCTGACTCAAGATAACATTGACATCTTCCGATTTCATGGCCTGTATTCACCTTAGAAGGCCTATATCTAAAATAAGTTAAATTAATCAGGCTATAAAGGACTGTTTAGGCAGCCCTTGATGACTAGCTATTTACAGTATGGCTGTCTCAAGTTAGATGGGTTAAATGGCATCTCAGGTCTTGCTGTCCTACGGCTCCTCTGTGAAATGTTTCCTAAATTTATTTGAGTGACCCAGCTATTCAATGTACTGTCATTTGCATTTCCACTCCAGCAGTTCAAAACAGATGCAATAATTAGATGACAACTATTTATAATCAACTAATTAGCTGTGGGACTTAAAGAATTCCTCAGTCAACACAGAAGTGGAGAAAGTGAATTGGACTGCAAACTGTGTACTAAGTAGAGGAAGCAAGTAGCTGGATGTTAGGCTAGGCATCTGGCATTTGAATTGACATTCGACTTGCTTGTGCTTCCAACCATTATTTTTCCTTCTTCCAGCTTTTTCAAAAAATAACGAGAAAGCTCTGTCTCTTAAAGCATGACTTAGTGTGGTTTTGGACAAGTTTTTAATTTTTAGATTTTTAATGGAAAGAATAGATTCAAGGGCAGGGGTAAGATCTTGGAACAAAGCATTTATGCTTTCATATCCTAAAGCTACAAAGGCCCTGTTACTTAAATGAACTTTTATTTTGATCATTTGCATTTTCTGTTGGCCTTCAAAAAGCATTGAAATTATTTTCCTCTGCTCTGCTATCCACTTCACCTTTTCTGTAGCAGTTATCTTTGTAAGAAGGGAAAAAGACCAGAAATGTTAGTGTACTTTAGATAACTTTCTCTTCATACAAATATTTCATTGCTATTCTAACTAACATCTGTGGTGCAGTCTCCATTCAAAGTCCCTTTATTCCACCCTGAAGCAAAAAAAGTTACGTTCATTCTCCAGATGTCACTGGCCATGATGCTGTGTTGCACAGCTGTGGTTATAAATAAAGGGATGATGTTTGTTACAATGACAATAGCTACGCTCTCTAGAGCAAGTGCCTATCAAAGCCTCCTGTGAGAGCTTTCTAAACTCATCGCTCCTTAGAACTCAGTGGCCATCACTGTCGTAACAGAGTTCTGTGAGACTAGTAAAGTTGCAACTTTGGTCTCACTTGGTTTATTTGCCAGATGCTATAAAGTAAATGATCTTGTTGCTACAGCTGCTTTTGAACATACTGATTTTAGATCCTGTTTTGACGAGTTACTGCTTATCTTTTTGTTGTTGTTCTACCACTTGGTTGTCAGGATATAAGGGTCAAGCCAGAAGAACACATCAGACCTGCTCATGGGAGGGCCTGCTGCCAGCTAGATATGTATGTTTTCTTATTGTAAAACTTCCTTCTTTTTTCAGGACTGCCAAACT